AAATAGGGACACCTACCCATTGTGGAAGAGGCTCCGAGTATCCTTTCTGGAAAAGAAGTCTGATAAAATCTGAAAGGGGGACCAAGGAGTGGAGTTAGCCAGGCAAGAAAAGGAGTTGTGGCATACTTGGTGTTGGTATTTGTTCTCTGAGAACTCTCTTGGTTATGAAAACTTAATTCTACTGCATATATTCCACGCAGAGTGATTTGGGGCCAGTTTCATTCAGTACAGTCTTGAAGCAGGTCGATATCTGTGGGATGGGAGGAAGATGGATGGAGGAGAAAATTTGCACAGGTGGAATTGATAGGATGTGCCAAATGATCAGATAAGGCTGGGGTAGTCAGAGAGAGCAAAGATGTCAGCTGGCTGCCTTGGAGGATTAGGGTACTGTTAGTGTTAACAGAAGAATGAGGAGCAGCTTTGAGAAAGCTTTTAAAACATGTCATAGTTTTTAGAATACAAAAATATCTATGGTAAGAGGCCCATTCAGTACAGAAGGATGAAGAATAGAAAGTCAGTCTGAGAGGGGAGCTCTTGAAGGTGGTTTTGGATGTGTTGCATTTGAAGTGCTGATGAGCTGCTCTCAGTGGAAACAACCTCAGGTGGGAGGTTAGGGCTAGAGTTTTATTATTTTAGTGTGAGGGAGTTACTTCCGATACATACCTGATTTTCCTGTGTAAGTATAAATTACTTTCACTGGTACTATAGCAGTCTCAGAAGGAAATATCGAAGTACAAGTTATATGTGAGCTTCGTTCTCCTGATTGCCACTTTTCTGTTATAATACCTTTAATATTAATTTAACTTTCACAAATATTGAATATTATAATGAGGGTCCTGTCTACTGATTATCAGGATACTAGTTATAAAATTGGTTTTTCACTCTAATTTTTAAGTGCCTGATGTGTTAGCCTGTGACATTTTTATAAGCAGATCAAATAGTTTGTTTCAGGATTTTTGGAAATATCCGTTTTCTCTTTCATTAAAGGGTTCTTAGCCTGGCACTACCGTTTGCTAGCTTTGAGAACTTGAGATAGTATTTAACCCAGGGTCTGATGCAGGTTCTTGAGATCATTTGCATCAGAATCACCTGAGGTCTTGGTTAAATGCAGATCCTTGGGCCCTGTTCCAAACTTACCAACTCAGAATCTCAGGAATCGATGTTTTAAATAAGCTCCTTGGGTGAGTCCTATGACCTCTGAAGATTGAGAACCACTAATTCAACCTCTTTGAGCAGCAGCTGCTTCTTCTGTAAAAATGAGAATAATAAAACCTGTGCTATAAGATTGTAAGGATTAAATGACATACATGACATAGTTACTCAAATGTGGTCCTCTGATGGGCAGCATCAGCACTACTTGGGAACTGGTTAGACATGCAAACTCTGAGTCCTTCCCCAAAGCTACTGAGTCAAAATTCTTTAGTGGGACCAAAGAATCTGTGTTTTAGTAAGTCCTCTAGGTGATTCCTGTGCATATTAAAGTTTGAGAACAGTGCTCTAGCCTGTTAGCTTCATAAAGATAGGGACCATGAAATTCTTCTTTACTAATATATTGCCGATACCTAGTATAGTCTCTAGCACAGAGTAGATATTCACTATATTTGATGAATGACTTTTTATACATTATACCCTCTTACTGAAACTAACACATTCATTACTTTTTAAAATTCTTCACTGTCAAATCTCAGAATGTTTTTAACACCACAAAATAAGATATTTGGGTTACTTAGAATTGAGAAATCTTTTGCATGAGTTTGAAATAGATGTAATCATTTGTGTTGTTCTTTTTCACAAATGTATCTAATGAAGAAAGCAGAATGACAGCTCTAGCTACTGAATATTATTTTTTTTGTTCCATTTTAGCCTAGCTTACAAATAGTGATTGGTTAAATGGCAAGTAGATCAATGAGAAAGTCGGTCAGATTAGAATACACCTAGAAATTGTGGGAGATCAAAATTAGCCACCCTGAAATATATCTCTTTACCTTGATTATTTTCTCTGACAGACAGTTGACCTCCCCCACTAACTGTTTAAATAAATTAACATAGAAAGCCTGTTTCAGGAAGGAGTTACTACCATATGATGGCTGTAATATAAAGTAAAATAGATGTTACAATAGGAAAGGCACCAACAAGCCCATCTTATCAAAAATTCTGTCTCTCCCAGGCCACATTCTCTAGGTGGCCCTGCAAAGAGTTGCCACACAAACCTTTACATTTATAAGGGAAATCCCCATTTGTAAAGGTATCTCCCTCTCTGTACTGGGAAGAGGGGGGATGACCTCATCTCTAGAAGCTTATCAATGTGGAAGGTGAGGCCTTAAATCTGCATAATAACCTTACCCTTGTTTACAGTGCTTTAGTGGTAAACTGTAACTGACTCCCTCCACCCCCAACATCCTCCTTTGTCTTTAGCTGAAGATAGTATTTAAGATGAGAATCTCTGCCATTTTGTTGAGAAACTCAGTTTCTCGGGTTTCTCCCATGTATACATGTTATTAAACTTAGTATTATTTTCTCCTGCTAACCTGTCTGGTAATTATTTGGCCAGCCATAAGAACCTTAAGGGAATGGGCAGAGGGGGATTCTCCCTGTTCCCGGACAAAATTTATTTTAAAGAAAGTAACTTTTTTGTTGATAGAAATGTATTTTCATACTGTTTAATTGTAACTTTTTAAAGAGGTCTTGTTATATCATGTTAAGAGCAAGGACTTGGCAGTCAGTCAGTTTGGGGTGATAAATGGCAAGCAATAGGATATATTGGAGCATATGAGGAAGCCATTTGGAGTAAAACTAATTCAGCCTGAGTTTGTTTTTCCAAGAGGGCCTGTTGCCTTCAAACATGCATTGTGTATCTGCTTTGCCATGTCCCAAAGAGAAGAGTAAATGCCCTTAAGATAAGGATGCAACTTCTCCCACACTGGCGTTTCGTTAAGGATAAGCATTTCTCCCTAGGCTAGGATTTGATTGCTGCAGTCATCCTGTGACCGCCCAGCTCTAGACCACAGACCTGACAGCAGACACACCCATCGAGACAACAGACCTGCTCACCGCTGTGTCTATCAATAGCTATTCTGGCAGGGCGATCTTGTGGCTATTGTAAACGGGACATTGCAATCCTATGTGATACATGCTCTTTGATGGTATATAACCGCTCTGTACACCCCACGTCTTTGGTGCCCTTCCTTCTTTTTTTTTTTCAAGTGTGATAGGTGAAATTTATTATTTTGTGAAAAAGATTATAATTAAAATTGAAACAATCTGGATTCTTAAAGCAATTTAGCAGTCATTATCTTTTACTTAGAGAAACTCCGCTGATAATGGTTTTATTCACATTAGCCTTCTTGTTTAGATTTGATCTTTAAAATTCTTGTGAAAATGGAGTTGTGATTGACATTGATGTGTTAGTTAGGACAACCTGAGTAGACACCGTCTCTCTCATCCGAGTTAACGGCTCACTAGCCCTCCTCGGACCTGTCAGATTTGGGACCTGACCTGGTCAGGCGAGGAAGGGAACGAAGGACGTCCATCTTGGTTGTCCTGGGAACACACTAGCGGGCAGGGCTCGCGTCACTCTCTTTATTCCAGACCAACTCAGGAAATGAAAGGACGGTTCTTGTTTCCACCGCGGTTACTTTTGTGGATGTGTCTGCACCTGCAGAGGCAGGCTTCAGAGCTTGGCCAACCATCAATGCCAAGCTGCCCTTTGATTTCTTCTTCCCGTTTGTCTGACGTAAGTCGTTAATTAAGGAAACTACCCCACATCTCCAGAACAGAGTGCATGGGGGCCTGGGGTCCCTCAGAGACATCCCTTTTTATTATACTTCCAACCCTTGAGGTTGCCCCCAAACCAACACGCCTCCCCTCTCCACTCACTTCCCTCCTTTTTTCCTTTGGAAATCTTATTCTACTTGGCTTGCACTATCTGGTCTTGGTCATTTCCAATACTCTCAGCATATAGATCATATTTGGAAACCAAACTGTGCCTTTGGAAAGACGGTAAAGAGAACAGACCTTGAAGTAGCTCAGGCATTGAGGGTTTATCCAGTTTATTCACCCTCTCCTTTAATGTGAGTAATTTTTAAAATAATCATTGTTTTTAGTTCAGGTTTTCTTTTCAGGTCCCCTTGAAATGAGTACAAAAGTAGCAAAATATGTATAAAATTGTACCAGTACAGGGCCTCACGAGGGGCTCTTCCCCCAAATGTCATGTTAATTACAGTGGAGTCTTGGGTCTAATTGCCATTTCTGTACCAGCCACTGTAGCTAGCGAGCTCTGCACCTGGAGGGCTGGTGTGGGATGCCACAGAGCTGTTCCAAGTGATTGAAGCTTGACAGAATATGGTAGGAGGGCCCGAGGGAAGGAGAGAGTTTAGTTTATACATTAATTGTACAGTAATTGAGAAAAATGTTGTCAGGTGGCAGAACTAGGTGGAACCAGCTAGAAGCTCGATGATGCAGAGGAGGGGGCTGGGTGCCCAAGAACAACCTCCCTGGGGGAAATTGTGATAAGAGAAGCTGTTTAGAACAGCTTGGAAATATAGAAGACTTTTTTAGAATGGGCTGGTAGCTAAGGTAGCTTCCTTTTTTTTTTCTTTTGTCTTTCAGAGTGCTCATATGAAAGGATGCACTGGTTCCTCAATATACATGTGAAATGTGAAAACTGTACATTTGATGAGATTAAATTTATATACAACTAGTGATTGTCCAGCTTTGTTCATTTTCAAGCAAGAGTAAAGTGTTCAATATGTGAAGATACAGTTTGGTACCTTTGCTATTACACAGTGTGGGGTGGGACTGGGATGGGAAGCCCTTGGTCAGACCAAGGGAGAAACAGAGCCTTCCGAAAGGCTGTGTCCCCCGGGATCCCAACTGGGCAGGAGTGAGACCAAGGCATGGAAGCAAGCCTCTCCCCCAGAGGGCCCCCAGAGAGGCCAGCGTCCTTCCCAGCACAGGCACAGGCCCCGGAAGCAAGGTCTTCTGAGGTGGAGTGGGTCCCCGTCTAGTTCACCTCACCAAGGAGTCCGTGCTGTTGCAAGAGCTTGTTCAGTCTTTTAATTTCTTGTTCCTTCTCGGTGCAGCTGAATTCAAGGTGTTGGACCTTGGCGGCCAATTGTATGTTCATCTGTTTTAACCTTAACAGCTGCTGTTCTGAACGTGTCTTAACGGAGATAATTATCCCGTTAATGATCCGGGCCACCTGCCACAGCCGGAGCAGGATCAGCAGGCCGAGAGCCTCGAACTCATGCTCCTGGAACAGGAGGACGATGTCGAGGATGAACGAGACCACCACGACGATGGTGTCCAGGATTTCAAACTTGTGGTGAAAGAATTCGAAGTGGAAGACAAAGATTTTAAAGAAAACTTCCATCATAAAGAAGGTCAGGATGGCAGTGCTCATGTAGTGGAACACCCGGGCGGCATGGTTATTCTTGTCGGGCTGGATGATCTTCAGGTCCAGAATGAGCTCGGCCAGCACCAGGAGGGCATCCAGAATGACCAGGTAAATGATGATGACCTGAAACCTGTGGGAGCTGAAGAGCTTCCTCAACGTGGTCCTAAAGTCTAGGGGCGGCCTGGGCGCGGGGGCAGGGGTGGCAGTTGCATCAGCAGCTCTGCCCTCCTCGCCAGAGGCTGGTGTTGGCGCCGGCTGCTCCTCCTGCTCCTCCTCGTCCTCTTCATTCTCCCATTTCTTGTAGTTGATGTTCCAGGCATGGCAGTCGTCCCCCACGACGGTGAAGTGCTCATCCTCAGGAACTTGCTCATCCTCTCGGCGGGAGCCACCCTGGCCCTGCGGGTGACTGTCTGTGACTTGAAACACCTTGCCGTGGCGGAAACATTCTGAACAGGCGTTGTCCCTCCTTCCTTGTCATCCCAGGAGGCCATTCTCCTGTCGTCTCCGGATCTGGGTGTAAGTTCTGGCTCTGCCTCCTTGGCTGTGCGACTTGTGGCAAGGGGCTTGGCCCTCCGAGTCTCAGTTTCTTCACGGCACTGCACGCCCGCGGCCCCCGCAGCGACTGCGAGCTGGGGCCACCCCGCCCCGCCCCCCCCAGCCCGCGGCCCCCACCGGTGCCCTTCCTTCTTTAGGGAAGGAAGCCCCTGGGCCATGGTCCTCAAAAGTTGGCTCATAATAAACTCACCCCAATTTTGATTTATAGAGTGATTATGGATTATTTACGTCAACAGGGGTTTGAGAATAATAAATTGAAGTTTATTAGCCATGTCAGTGTTTTGCAACCTTTTTTTATGTTGTGGAACACATACAAAACGCTATTTGTACAAAACCTTGAGGTAAATGGAGGGAGCAAGACAGGAACACAGCAGCCCCGGGCCTCACCCAGCTACCCCAAGGACCGGGTGATCAATATCTCAGCACACCTGTAACCCCTTTGTGGCTCCCCAGTGTGTCTTAGGCCTTAGTGAGCTCGGAGCTGCAGGACCTTGAGTAAGTTACTTCACTTTTCTGGTTTCCAGTTTCCTTATCTGCAAAATGGAGATAATTCCTACCTTATGGGGTTGATGTGGGTATGAGAAAATGTACATAAAATATGTGGCACAAGACTAGGCACTTAGTATATATTCAATAAATGTTAAGTTGCTGTCGTTATGGCTGCTAACAGTAATAATAAAAAGCAAAAGGGAAGGGTTTGAATTGAAAAATTTTAAAAACACATAGAAACAGTGTTCTGAGACCTTGCTTTCTTATTTTGCGTTGTATTTTTCATTCTTTTTTCTTTAATGCATCTTTCTAGGACAAAAAATAATATCCAAAGATATTTTGGCACTAACAATGTGATCTATAGCAAGAAAGATGAACAGTCTATTCCAACCCAGGAGATTTATAAGGAGACGAGAGCCAAGACAGTGTAAAGGAGAATACGAAAAAAGACTTGTTAAATATTATGAAGGGCATGAAAGTTGAGTTAAGCACAGTAAATGTACAAACCACAAAGCCACCCAACAGAAGACAACTGAAAAGTTTGGAGGCCACAGTTGGCAGGCTTCCAAGGGCTCCAGAAGATGCCCCAAAGGAGGGGTAAATTAAATTGCTATTTGAATGTTGTTCTTTGAAAGTAATTTTTGAAACTCTTTTCTTTTTCTTTCAGAAAATCATTTTTTTAAATTAGAGTACATGGGAGGTACTGAATTAGTGAAGACTATATATCAGTTTGTAAACACAGAGACTCTAATAATTACTTGAGAAAAACTGTTATTCTATATTTAAATAAGAAGGGGACATCTGTATACAATCTAGAGAGAGGAAAAGAGTAGTGATCTAATTGAGAATTTCACACATTGCCTTACATATTCATCAGTGTTATTAACTGCCAATTAATTGCCTCTTTAAGGTGTAAATTAACAAATCATTTACGTCCTAATTTGAAAGTAGCTTTGTGTCTCTGAAGGACTTGTTTATTGGAAATTTCCATTTTAAAAATTCCACCTAGGATAGAATTTTAGCAAGTTGATTACAACTATTTTATGTGACTTTCTTTGAACAGTAATCATCAGTGCTCTCAGCCTATGTGGTTTCCTCAAAATATTGTGTTTACTTGTGCTTGCCAAAGTGATTCTAAGTGCAGTCAGTGATATTTTGGCATCATGTTGCAGTTTAAATGGCAGTTTTGTTGTAGTAATACATAAATGATGTGTCTTAAATTGATGACATCATCGATTCAAGTGATAAGGTATGTGGCTTTAAGATGCCCATCTCTTTTAGCACAATCAACAGTGTAGATTTCAGTTTCCCAGAGTAACTTAAGTTTTTATGGAACTTCTTAGTTTCTACATTGTATCACATTGTATCAAAACTACTCCTGGAAAACACAGTCGGGTGGTAGAAAGTAAGCTCATTTAAAGTGATATGCCCATAATAGGTACCTCCTCCTCCTTTTTAGAAACAAAACAAAACAAAAAAATTCTATATGAGTATATAGAATTAGATAATACACGCACATACATATGTATACTTACCAAGAGTGAGATTTTTTTGGCTCCCAGACCTGTTTATGACCCATTGTGCTTTTCATTATAATTATACAATTTAATTAAGTATTATAGAAATGGTTAAAATGAGTTGAATGCTTTGCAAAAATTCAGTAATGGTAATTTTTAAAATTGCTTTCAAATTAGGTATGAATGAGACAAGCATAAAAATCTAGAAAAATTCTGCCCTCAGATTGTTTTGTAAGCATTTTTAAGTTCTTGCTCCATATTTCTACTTTAAAGAAACCAAAATTGGAAGTATTGGAGGATGTACTATGAGTGTGGTGTATATATCAAGGATATATCTTGGAACTTCTCTCAGTGGTCTTATGTTCAAAGAAGAGGCTTTGGTCCTACATCGAAAGATCGGTAAATGAGGTACATTTCTTTTGAGTTTTAAAAGATATATCTTTTAATGATTTTTGCCCTCCCTTCTTGTCTTTTAAGGGATTCCAGATGCACAGATTTGGGTTAATCATCATCTTTGATTCATGATGCACTGTCATCGTTGTTCCATGCATACCCTGCTTTTGGTTTCTTTATTTGTATTATATATTGAACCCCATCAATATAGTTACCATGGTTACATAACAATTGCCCCAAAATTTAGCGGCGTAAAACAACCATTTTTTTTTTAATCTTTTTTTTTGTTTTTTAGGAAAGGGAGAGGGATGAGGACCTAACAACAAAGTGGTGGTGGGGGAAGGGGAATGGAGGTGAGAAAGGTAGGGAAGGAAAGATAAAAGAGAATGTAGGAAAAAGGGGAGTGCAGGAAGAAAAATATTAAACAGTGTAAGGAAAAGGGAGGGCGAGGGGAGAGAGAAGGGAGGGAGGGGAAGAGGACAAAGGCAAGAGGGGAGAGAGGAGGGGGCAAAGGAGGAGAGGTAACAGGAGAAAGGGGAGGGTGAGGGAGAAGACAGGAGGAGAGCAAAGAGGGCTGGAAGGGAGGGATAAAACCACCATTTTTTATGCTCGTGGATTCTGTGGGTCAGCAGTCTGGGCAGAGCCTGGTGGAGAAGGCTGATTTCTACTCTGCGATGTCTGGGGCCTTAGTTGGAAGACTTGGACGTCCACGGGCTGGAATCATCTGAAGGTTTGCTCACTCGTAGGTCTGGCAGTTGATGCTGGCTATTAGCTGAAATCTTAGCTGGGACTTAGCAGAAACACCTACGTGTGGCCTCTCTGTGTGACCTGGGCTTCCTCACTGTGTGGTAGCTGGGTTCCTTTCAGTGGCAGTGTAGCAAGGTTTTGGAAGAGCATGTCTGACCAGAGATATTGCTCTCTCTTTTCTGAAAATATAATCTGCCACACCTGGTAAGCTGATAGCTGTAGGTGTCAGCTGTATTGTAGGCAACATTATCATGCTAAAATTGACCCCTGATTGATTGCATCTGGATTGGGAGAACTCTGAGGTACCTTATGGGGACACCATACTTAGGGCTTCCTTGAGTGCAGTTACTCTCGTACTGCATGTCCCTTGTAGGGACCCTGGAAACTCTGCCTGTGGCCTTGTTACAGGAGATATCGGTTCCTGTGGGGCCACTGAGCCAGGAGACTCCCAAACCTCTGTGATGGCTCTTGGATGGCTGCGTGAAGTGTCACCAACATAAGTGCTGTAAGGACTCCTGCCGAGAGGGACACTAAGACTGCCCCGCCAGCCTGCTGTGGTTCTGTCCTTTGTCTTTCTGAGTAGATGGGCCAAGCGTGTCAGGTAGTTTTGTGAGTCTGAAGGTATTATGGAACTGAACCAGACCCCTGGTGGATGCAGCAGTAACCAAAATTGCTAGCTCCTGTTTTAACTTTTAACCAAGCAACTGCCTGCTCTGATCATTCAGTAAGAAAGCTTCAGTTATTACTCAGTTAATTAATCTTCTACTTGAAATTTAGATTATTTCTAGTTTGTCATTAGTATAAAATGATGCTATGATTAACATCATTCATTCATTCATTCTTTCAGCAACTTTCAGTTGCCATTATATCTCAGGCACTGTCCAAAGTGATGGAAGTAGAACATTGAACAAAACAAAGTGTCTACACCATACATTATGGTGGAGGGAGAGGTGATGGTGGCTGCGGGAGAGGGGGTGTACTTACACGACACACACGCACACACAAAGTATGTCAGATGATGAAACATGAAGAAAAATAAGAGTGATGGGGCAGGAGAGATGCTATTTTTAAGAAAGTGAGCAGGGAAGAACTCTGATAATGTAACATTTGAGCAAAGACCTGAAATAAGGTTAGGGATAAAGACATGCAGATACCTTTTAGGCACAGGGGATGGAACTGCTTAGACCTTGAGTTTGGAGTGTGCTGTGTCCCTCCAATTCCACGTAGCTGTTTATTTTCTTTAGACAAATATTCCTTGAAGTGGAATTGCTAGGTCAAAGATTTTGCATATTTTTTAGGCTTTTGATATATGGGACCAATTTGCCTGCCAAAAGTTATGCCATTTTGTATGTCCACCTAATAGTATCTTTCCCCTCATCAGGATTCCTTTTCTGAAATTATATATGTCATACAGTTCATTTTAAAGAAATTCAGAAAGTACAGAAGGGTATAAAGTGAACAAGTATGTATTCATGAAATAGTCTGATTATAGGGTAGAAGAGATTGTTACAAGATATTTCAACAAGTTTCCATCAGCTTATTAAAGTCGATGTAGAAAGATCCCTGTATGTAAAAATTATCTTATTTCAATGACAGAGGCTCCTGCACAGTTTTTATTAATTAGAACATTTCAAATTATAAAGCCAGAAGCTATGACTGTAAAGAGCACCATTGTCATAAAATGCATGGTTCTAGAAATTCTAGAAAGAATATAGATGAATATTCATCTATATTCTTTGCATACTCTGATCAAATATATATATTAAAATTTGTGGGTAAACTTCACAAGTAGTTTATGAAAGAAAAAGTAGTTATGAAAGAAATTGGGATTAAGTTTAAGCCTTATTCACAGGTAATGGTTTTGAAAGTAGCACATTCCTT